AAAAAAAAAAAAAAAAAGATGTGTTTATAAGAATGTTCACTGAAGCACTGTTTGTCCAAAAAAATGCACAAAATAGCCTTAACGTCTTTTATGAAGAGCTTGGTTAAACAAACATAAATGTAATGAAAGAATGAGGTTCATCCTTATATGTTGATTTCAAAACACGAGCAATAAAACAGCTAATGTTTATCTAGCATTTACTATATGCTAGGCACTGTTTTAATCAATTTATACATATGAACACATTTAATTGCCACATTAACCCCATGAAGTAAGCAGGTGCTATTATTATGCTCATTGTACAGATTAGGAAACAAGAACAGAGAACAACTTGCCCAAGGTCACAAGGCCGTTGGTCACGGGTTCAGAATTTGAACCCAGAAAGTCAGACTCTAGAATCTGTGCTTTTCACCACTAGGCTGTACAAGATATAGTAGAAGGAGCAAAGTTCAATATAATCCCATGTGTAAAAACATGTATGTGTGTGTATACATATGTGTGTATGTGTATGTGCATCTATCTTGTATAGCAGACAGAAATTCTAGAAAAACAGAAAACATTTTACCTCTGAAGGGGACTGCAGGGAGAGATGGGGATATGAGAAATAGCATTTTTATCTTCCTTTCAAATGCCTCTATACAGTTTGAATGTTTTTATTTTTTTTTTAAATAATCTTCCAAAAATACTTAACCAAAAAAAGCCCAAGGTGAGGAGCTGCCTTAGTAAATGAACTCCAAAGCGTGCTACTAGCATTCTGTTCCTCTTAATTTAGCTGCTCTTATAAATAGTATGATCTCACTTTCTTGTGAGAATGACAGAGAAGGCACTGGTTTTGCAGCGATTATTCATGATATAAAATTCTGCATAACCAAAACTGCAGAATCAGTGCTTTAAATCATTCTCCAGATATAGGAATATCTTCATTATAAAAATTATTTTTGGGGCCAACCCCATGGCCTGGTGGTTAAGTTCGCTGCGTTCCGCTTCAGCAGCCTGGGTTCGGTTCCTGGGTGCAGACCTATACCACTCATCAGCAGCCATGCTGTGGCAGTGACCCCACACAAAATAGAGGAAGATTGGCACAGATGTTAGGGCAGGGTGAATCTTCCTCAACAACAACAACAAAAAATGTTCATAATAATATTGACTATAATGGTACTTGCCTATAGTTCAAAGTCTAAACACATACTGAACTGACAAAACAATAAAATGCAATGGTGAGTTTTCTCTAGTTTTCCTATAGCTTTGGTTTTATAACCCCATAGGTTGTCTCCATTTACTTCTTAGAATACTGTTAAAAAGAAAAATTCATTGACTCATAATTCTAAATATGTCATATTTCTGTGGCAGAAAGGTTAAAACAATAAAAGTTCAAAAATTAAAAACAAGGTAGCACTACAATACTACAGAGTAAAACTACCATGTGGCAGCAGTCCACGTTCATTATAGGTTTCCTATATGGCAGGCAACGTGCAAGGACTTTACATAGATTACTTCATTTGTATTCCACACCATATAGATAGGAACTGATATGTCCATTTTACAGATGTGGAGGCCAAAACGCAGAGAAATTAAGTAATTTACTCAAGGTCACATAGTGAGCCAGGGGCAGGGCCAGGCTTTGAGCCCAGGTCTTCTTCATTGCAAAGCCCAAGTTGTCCCTACATCTCCTGCCAAAGCGTACAGAATGCAAAACTAACTCTGTACCAGCTAATTAAGTACTCTGTTAAGACATATCAGACACCAAGGCATGTATAGGTAGACTTGTGCTATCTACAGAGGTATTTCAACACAGCTGGCCGTGGTAGAAAGTGTTGCTTTGGAGTAAGAAGGCTCAGACTTCTAACCCCGTGGCTTCTTTACTTCACGACTGTGTGACTTTGATCAAACCACTTCTCCCAACCTCTGTTTTCACATCTGAAAACGTGGTTTTGTTGTAAGGACCAAGTAATATAATTTATAAATTCTTATAAAAACGTTTTTCTTTAAAAAAAAAAAAAATCACTATCCAGACACCTGAAAATGGCTCATATAGTCCAGCATCTCAGGGGAACATAAGGGTGTCTGGTGCTTTTATTTTAACAAGGACACTCCCCACCCCCAGTCAATGCTTACCATGATATAAATACTTACACTGTATAACAACCGCTCCGCAAAATGGTTTTCACTGTGTTCTTTCTTGGCAAGCCATAAGCCATGGTGAATTTTTACAGTTCAATTTCCTAACATAGGTGCCTGACGAATGACTCTGATACTCTGTTCACTTCGCCTGAAATGATTGCAACACACCTAATCAACGGCTTTCACTTGAATATTTTTTAATACTCAAATAATAAAAAGATTCAGAAAAAGCATTTCTGAATGTCAAAACATCCCTAACAAGTGTTCATTGAAGCTGAACTAATGTAGAACTGTGTTCTCTATTTTCCATGAACTCATTCTGTCATTCCTTGCCATGTAAGGAGAAAATGCCAGGTTAACAGCCTGGGTATGCTGTCATGGAATTTTGTCATTGTCTAAACCTGCCAAACTGGCTCAAACAACTCATCCCCAAACTGTGTCTGACTGTGGCAATGTTAAGCGACAAATGGCTCTGCGGGCACAGGAACTTCCAGTCCCTCGGCTGAGCCTTTTAGAGGATACCAACCTTCCCAGATTTTCCCTTATTCAAAAATCTGAACTTAAAAAATGGCCAACTCGGGCCGGCCCCGTGGCTTAGCGGCTAAGTGCGCGCGCTCTGCTGCTGGGGGCCCGGGGTTCGGATCCCGGGCACGCTCCGATGCGCTGCTTCTCCGGCCATGCTGAGGCCGCGTCCCACATACAGCAACTAGAAGGATGTACAGCTATGGCACACAACTATCCACTGGGGCTTTGGGGGAAAAAATAAATAAATAAAATTATATTTAAAAAAAAGGTCAACTTGAAGCACCACTCCCACCTCCCCTCCCCTGCACCATTCTTCGCAGCGACTCTCCTCCCCGGCAGACGTACTCTTCCCGGCACGCAGCGGCTCCCGGGAAGCGGTGGGGCCTCGGGCAGCCGCAGAGCCGGGGACCAAGGAGCGGGCCTTCCCCTCGGTCCGCGCCTTCCCACGCCGGCGCCCCACGGCCCCGCACCCGCACGCAGCGCGCGCCCAGCCCGCCCGGTCCGCCGGGGCCTCGGGAGACAGCTCCCGCGGAGGGGGCGCCGGCGCTGATTACCGTCGCTGGAGGCCTCTGAGGGTCGCGGTACCCCGCCGACCAAGGGCAGAGCGCGCGCCCGACTAGGCGCACAAGGCCGCGCACACGCCGCGGGCCCGCACCGCGGGCACACGCCTCCTGCCTGCTCGCGCCGGAGCTGCGGGCGCGCCCGCGTCACGTCGCGGCCTCAATAAAGGGCTTTGTGGGGCCGGCCCCGCGAGGTCCTCGGGCAGAGGCCTCCGGGTGTCACAGCCGAGGACCGGCCCACGCTTGGCAGAACGCAGGCCACGAGCCAAAGAGAGGGCTGTAAGCTAGGCCTCTCCCTGAAAACGACACTGTTAAACGTAAAGGGGTTGTGTTGAAGCGACTTGGGGACTTCGTTTTGGGGACCATTTGGGGCGCCACTTAAAGAAATGTGCTCCATTCTGACGTGTCCGCTGTGAGCGAGTCTCACTGGTGGCGCGTGAGCAGAAGTGTTATTTACTGTTCACACGCTCTAGGGGGTCAAGGCGGTTTTAAACGCGAAAGCTCGAAACCCATGTGATACGTTATGTGTTCGTGTGAAGAGCAAGACAGGATCAAAAGACGTGGCCTGATGGACCAGTTTCTGAAGTCATTACACTGTGGTGATTCAGAATGAATCTGTTATTTTAAGACATCAGATGGTCACCACTTAACGTCAGATGAAAATAGATTGCCTTTCCATTTTGCGTGAGGGTTTTGGAGTCGGAACTGGTTTGGAATTCTAGTTCTGCCTCTTGCTAACTAAGATCTGGCCTACATAACTTCTCTAAGCCTTAATTTCTTTATAAAACAACTATAATACTCTATATTCTACAGAGTTGTTGTGAAGATTAACAATCACGTCTGTACATTCTCTGCCACATTTAGGTAAGTGCCTAATTATCCAATTTTGAGCGTAGTGACAACTTTATGAGATAGGCAATTCCAATTGTAGAGAGGAGGAATGAGCTGAGAGGTTAAAGGACTGCCCAAGGTCACATAGCTAGTGAGTTGCAGGGCCAACTTTTGAAGCTAAACACAAGTACCCTTTCCATCCTGACAAGCTACCTCTGATTCTAGCTCCTGCCTAATTAGAATAGGATTGCAGGGTTGACCCACCTTTCGAAGGTGCTTTGTGCCTCCCGGAAACTGGAAGATGAGGACTCACTCGCTCTTTAACGTTTCTGTTCTAGTACTGATGGAAAAGGAGCAGCGAGGAGTAAAAGTGGGTGTTAGGATTTAACATCAAGAATGGTGAAGCCTTAGTGGAATGTGAAATCAGCCTAGTAGATTTTGACCTGAATTTTTTTTATTGAATTAGTATAGAATGGGGGATAATGAGAGTACAGCACGCAAATAAGTATTGTTTTATGGAACTTTCATTTCTGTTACACACATGCACACATACACATGCCTGTGTGTGTACAGTTTCTTTTCTTTTTTTTTTTTGTGAGGAAGATCAACCCTGAGCTAACATCCATGCTAATCCTCCTCTTTTTTTTTTTGCTGAAGAAGACCAGCTCTGAGCTAACATCTATTGCCAATCCTCCTCCTTTTTTTTTCCCTCAAAGCCCCAGTAGATAGTTATATGTCATAGTTGCACATTCTTCTAGTTGCTGTATGTGGGACTCTGCCTCAGCATGGCTGGAGAAGCGGGGCGCGTCGGTGCGCGCCCGGGATCCAAACGGGGCCGCCAGTAGCGGAGCACGCGCACTTAACCGCTAAGCCACGGGGCTGGCCCTGTACAGTTTCAATATAAAATATAGTTCTTACAGTGGGTCTAGAAAGTTCGAAAGCCACTGTCTAAGATCATTTCATTTTAGAGATGAAAAAACAAAGACCAAAGAGTTAACTGAGGTCACACCCAGATGGGGCCACCTTAGAGTTGAAGTGCCACATAGCTCCGTGGCCTGTTCTTTTTATACAGAAGAAGAAATCAAGACCCAGGGAGAGGATGTGATGGGTCCAGCGCCGCACTGAGAGAGATTAGACAGCCTGTGATTTCTCCATGTGGGAACTCCATTTCTTGTATGTGTAGATAATTCCTGACAATTGTATTCAGTTATTTCCTATGTGACTGACTTTGAACAAATATGGTGGAAGTTATGGTGTATAACTTATGAGACTAGGTCATAAAAAGTATTGTGGCTTCCTTCTTGCCATCTCTCTTGGATCACTCACGCTAGAAGAGACCAGCTGCCATGCTGGAAGGACACCTAAGTCACCTTATGGAGAAATTCACATGCAAAGGAATTGAGGCCTCTAGCCAACAACTGGTGAGGTGGCCTCTTGCTACCAACCATGTGAGTGAGCCATCTTGGAAGCAGATCTTCCAAGGCTCAGTCAAGCCTTCAGATGACTACAGCGCCAGCTGATATCTTGACTGAAACTTCATGGGAGACCCGAGCCAAAACCACCTAGCTAAGTTGCCCCAGGATTCCTGGGCCTGAGACAGTACAAGATAATGTTTGTCATTTTAAGCTACCAACCTTTGGGGTAATTATTACATAGCAATTGATAACTAATATACCATTAAATGTCTTATTGTATAGGGAATATTTTATATAGAGGAAAATAGCCATGTTTTTATAATTGAGATTAATAGTTTGATAAAAATGAAGAGTAAAACACGTTATGCTTTACCATCTACTGGGCAGCTGATTTTGCTAAATCTCATCCAGGACCAGTTAACATCTTAACCACCTAAATATATGGTAACCACCCTCCCTTACATGTATTTAAAAACAAAAATCCTATAGAATCCTATAGAAGGTGGACGGATATCCAATAAAGATTCAGTTTCCCCCTCATAATGACTATTTCAATATTTTCTGTTGAAATATCAAATTCTCAACATTTCTCTCTCTCTCTCCCTGTCTCTCTCTCTCTTTTCTCTGTCTCTATCTCTGTCTGTGCTCTCTCTCCACCTGCCTTTCTGGTGCCCTACACACATCTACCTATTGGGTAAGCCTTCACTGATCACATCCATTGCAGAAAGTTGGCAATTTTCATTTAAATTGGTTGAGTATTGCTGCCACCTAGTGTTAAAACTAAGGTACAAGGAGGAATACAAAATGCAAAAGACTTAACATGATAATAATAATCATAACTCATAACACAAAAACAATACTAGTATAATGACATTTACTATGTTTTGGGCATTGATCAAGGTATTTAATATACATTGTCTCATTTAATTATCACAACAATAGATTCTATTATTAATTTAGTGATGTGATTTTCGGGATATTAGAGAAGAAAAAACTGAGGCACCTCAAGCGTGAATAACTTTTCCAAGGCCACAGGATTTGAACCCAAAACTATCTGATTCTGATTTTTTGCTCTCTCCACCACACTGTACATTCTCCCGGGATTCTAATTAGGGCAAGATTTTAGAGTATATACTTGTAAATATTTTTGCAACTGCCCTTTTCAAATATTCTGTTAATTTCTCATTATATACGTACATATCTATACACACACGTATATATTCATTCTAATTTCAAAGAGCGATGTTTCATTTCTTTTAACTTATTATGTAAATCACAGATGCAGCTTACAGTTGTTCATGGCTACATCCAAAACTGCTCTAGTAATGACACCAATTCTAGATAATGATAGAACAATTCATCTGCAAAAACTTTAAAACCACCAAAGAATATCACTGAAAGCCCTAAATATTCTTAACCCTTCTGTACTAGCACCTTCCTAATTCTCTCACTTCAAAAGCCACTCTGCCTGTTTCCCTCTTTCTTCCCTCCGTGGAGTTTGTGTATGCCCGTAGTTGTGTGTGTCCTTTCTTGGACTGTTCGTTCTACCCAGTCCTCTCAGCGCCTCTGCTCTCACTAATGTAATATCAACTTCTCTTTGGATGGGCCCCAAATGTGATTCTCTCGCCAGCCTTGCCTTCTTTCCCAAATACATATCCTGCACTTCCATCGGTTTTGGGGACCTTCCTACCTGACTATCCTGTTCAGATGGAAATTTTGACGTATCCAAAATGTAATTCATAACCTACTCCCTAAACAAACCATCTCTTCTGTTCCTATTTCTGGGGATGACCCCATGAGTCTTCCATGAGTCAGGCTTAGAGCACTGAGCCATTTTTAAAGCATATTGTTGGGCACCTACTCCATGCCAGCCATCATTCTTGGTCACCTCACATGACATCTGATACTCTCAGCTTAGGAAGGAAGAAGATAATCGTTTCCCTAGTACAGTTAAGGAAAAAAAGAGTTTATAGGGCTGAAAAATGACTTGCTGACAATTACACAACTAGTAAGTTGCAGAGCCAAATTTAACCCAGGTCAGTTTCACTCCTGACCTACCTCCTTTGAGATCTCTGGATCCCCTGGCTGGACTATATATCCCTCTGTTCATGAGATTTCCATTGCATCCTCACAATAACATTCACCTACCCACCCATTCTATTTGAGGTCGACAGAATAGGTTTCTATACCTTAAACACATTGTTGCTGGACCAGAACAG